GGAGTCAGTGGGGCACCACCCTCAATCTACCAAGCAGAGCCCCTTGCTGCCACTTCTCTGTAGTGCTTTGGGGTACCCTCCTGGGGGTTGGCTTCCTTCCCCCTCTGGCCTTGGCAACGGGGACCTTCACCCTGGGGGTCCTGGGTCCCTGGGACTGTGACCCCATCTTTGCCCAGGCCTTGCCCAATGTAGCCGCCCAGCTGGCTGTGGACCGAGCTAACCGAGACCCCGCCCTGTTGCCGAACTCACGGCTGGATTCGGTGCTCCTTCCCACCGGCTGTGACGCACCTCGGGCCCTGGCCACGCTCCTGGCCCACAAAGACCACATAGCTGCGTTTGTGGGCCCTGTCAACCCTGCTTACTGCTCAGCTGTGACCCTCCTGGCCCAAGGCTGGGGGAAGACCCTCTTCTCCTGGGTGTGCGGAGCAGAGGGAGGAGGGGAGCTGGTGCCCACCTTGCCTTCAGCTGCCCATGTGCTGCTGTCCATCCTGAGACACTTTGGCTGGGCCCGAGTGGCCATCGTGTCTGCCCACCAGGACATCTGGGTGGCCACGGCCCGGCAGGTGGCCACGACTTTCAGAATGCACGGACTGCCTGTAGGGCTGGTGACTTCTCTGGGACCAGGGGAACAGGGGGCCACCGAGGTCCTGAAGCAGCTGGGCAGCATGGATGGCCTCAAAGGTAAGGGTCCAGTGTCTTTCTCCTGCAGGCAGTATGGCCCTTACTCTTGACCATGACATTGCACGGGCCCTCACGCCAGCCTTGTGAGCAGTGGTGCCGAGGCCCCCTCTCCACGGCTCCACTCAGAGGAGGCGAGTCACTTGCCCAGGTCACACAGGCTCCCAGTGGTGCCACTGGATTCTGAACTCTGACCCATGTGTCAATGGAGGAGTGGGAGCTTAGGGCATTTGTTCTTGGTTCCCACCTGGGAAAATAAAGGACCTCAGAGTCGGGCAGACCTGACCCCAGGAAGGGAGTTCAAGCCACCTGCATGGCCGATGCTATGTGTCATCCAGTGGGTTCCCCTTCCACGGACACCACAGAACGGGAAGCGTGGTCTGGCAGCGGCGCGAGGTGGCTCTGTTGAAACCCCTCATAACAGCCACTCTTCGACTGTCCCAGGCATGGCGTCCTTTCTCAGGGACGGGTCTCACCAGGTCTCACGTCCAAAGTGAGGCAGCCCGAGTCTCGCCCTCCTCGCTCCCCAGGAGCGATCTGGCTGTATGTCTTCCCAGACGGATCTGTTTGTTATTCTGCCTGCCACCTGTAGCTTCTTGGCTCGGGAGGCCTGGACTCCTGGATTCGCCCAGACTGCTGGGCTCGGTCACCATGGTGGGCAGGCAGAGGAGGTGATGGTGTGATGACAGGAGACAGGCAGATCAGCGGGTGGTCTTGACAGACAGGTTGGAGCCAGCCCCGGGAGCAGAGGCCCGAGGTCAGAGCAGGCCTGTGTTGGGGGCCTGCGGGGATGGTGACTTCTGAGGCCTGGGAGTCTAAGGAGGTTTCTTGGAGGGGCTGGTGCCCACCCTCCTGTCTGTTGGGAAACAGCCACAGAAGGCGTGGTGGTGTGGGGTGAGGGGAGGGACACACCTGGAAGAGAGAGGGCCCTTAGAGTTCATTTAGACGGAGGCCTTCACACTGCACCTTGTGGTCCACTGGGGTCAAGACATCCACTTAGTCAATCATGTCTAGGCGTGTGAAAGAAAGCAAGAGATAGGATGGAATGTCGTTGAGGGAGAAGGATAAAATGGCACAGCACAGCACACAAGGGAGCAGAGTAAGAAGAGTAAGCATGACGTGTCTGCAAGGAGGAAGAGCCTGATAACTAAAAGGCTGGTGGTTCGAACCCGCCAGCTGCCCTGAAGGAGAATGAGGTCGTCTATTTCTGTAAGGCTGTAAATCTTGGAAACCCCATGGGGCAGTTATACTCTGTCCCTAAGGGCCACTGTGAATGGGATCAAGTGCAAAGCATCAAGTAAGGTGAGGAGAAGGGTCCTTTCAGTGCCACAGCTACAAGCTCAGCTTCCACCGGAAGGCTAGACAGTTCAAACCCATCCAGGGCTCTGAGGAAGCAAAACCTGGCAATCTATGCCCATAACGACGAACACCCCCAAACCCACTGCCACCCAGTCAATCCTGATTCACAGTGACAGAGCAGAACTGCCCCGCAGGGTTTCCAAGACAAAATCTCCATGGGCGCAGACACCCTCACCTGTCTTCCACGAAGTGGCTAGTAGGTTTGAACCACCAACCTTGAGGCTAGCATTCAAAGAAATTAATCTAGAAACCCTATGGGACAGCCCTATCCTGTCCTATGGGGGGCACTAGGAGTCAAAATCCACTGGATGGCACCTACCAATGACAGAAGTCCTGCCTGGTGAAACCTGCAGGTCTGCGGGTGTGCTCGGGGTTAACAGACACGGGTTTGTAAGGATCAGAAACCAAACCAAACTCACCGCCATTGAGTTGATGCCGATGCCTAGTGACCCTCTAGGACAAGACAGAATTGTCCCTGTGAGTGTCCCTCCTCCCAAGTGCAACTCTCTACAGGAGTGGAAAGCCTCCTTTTCTACTCCCCTGAAGAAGAGCTGGTGGTTTTGAACTGTGGCTAGCAGCCCCTGGTTAGTAACCTTACCAATCCTCAATGTGCTCCTACAGGGGCCCCCTTTAAAAGCCGCCGAGACAAACCCCAGGGTTCATACTGGAGGGAGTTGGGGCCAGGGTGGGGTGGACAGCAGGCCAGGGTCCTGTGGCCGGTTCGTGAGGGAGAGCTCAGTGGAGCGTGAGACCGGCCTGCCGCCGCCGCCGCCGCCTCGGGGAGCTGCCTCGTTGCTCAGAGCCCAGGTGTCCGGTCGGTGAGAGGAGGAGGCGTCACAGGTACAATGTGGCTGAGTGCTTTGGAGACGTGTCAGTCAACCACGACTCCCTGAGCTCCGCTCTGGCTGGGCTCTGAGGACACGGAGGGGATGGGGGTCGGGGGGACCAGCCAGGCCCCAGTGGGGCAGGAGGCCTTGGGTCTAGGAGAGGAGACAGCTGTGTAAACCGTCACACCAGCCTCGGGATGGAGCGGGCCGGAGCCCCAGGGAGCTAATCCATCTGGGCTTGAAAATGAAAGGTGATTGCAGACAGAGAGATGGCTGGAACGAGCTCCAGCCCGAGGGACCAGCCTGGGCAGGGGGACGGAGGCTGCATGCTGGTGGTGAGCAGCTCAGTTCTGCCTGGTGGCAGCGGACAGGGACGGCCTTCTCCACCTGCTGCAGGGGCCGAGGGCAGACTAGATCGGGCACCTGCCTGAGTCAGAGTCCCACGGTCCCACTTCTGGCCCCACCTCTGACTAGCTGTGTGACCTCAGGCAAGTCACTACACCTCTCTGTGCTAGAGTTTCCTCTTCGGTCGCAGGAGGCAAATGTAAGCCCCCCGGGGTGGTGGGTACAAACGGTCAATGCACTCAGCTGCTAATGGAAAGGGTGGGGGCTGGACCCAGCCAGAGGCACCTCGGCTGAAATTCCCTAAACCCAGCCACTGAGAACCCTGTGGAGCCCAGTTCCACTGTGCCTCGGGGGGAGTTGGCATGAGCTGGCATTGACCCGAGGGCACTTGATACTGCCAGCTGGTTTCTTAGGCCAGGGCAGAGGAGAACACTCGGGCTCACGGCTGTTAGACCCTGAGGGAGGCAGGTGGTGTCACCCTGGCCCACAGTTAGGTTGCGAGCCAGGCACCAGCCTGTGCGGGTTTGAATCCTAGCTCCACCCATACAGTGGGGTGACAACCTACCTTCTTTGTACCTCCACTTCCCCCTTTGAAGCCTTAGACACGGTGGCATACATACCTCTTTGCCAAGCAAACCCACTGCCGCCCAGGCCACTGTGACTCACAGCGACCCTGTAGGACAGGGTGGGATGGCTCCCTGGTGTGTCTGAAGCTGAGAATATGGACAGAGGGAAGCCGACTGCCTTGTCTTTGTCTCGGCGAGCAGATGGGGTCAAACCACCGGCCTCTTGTTGAGCAGCCCGGCCCTTGCCCTCTGTGCCACCAGGGCCCTGTGCATACCTCTCAGGGCTGTGGTGGTCCTGAATGACTGACTATGTGTGGTCACCCTTTGGGACAGAAGATGGTCGCCATGGCCGGACTCACATGGATGGAGGGAGGGTGGGAAGTTGGTAAAAATGGTGGGTGGGCCGGCCGGCCGGTCGGCAGGGACATATTAATCCACACGTCTTCTCGGGCAGGGTTTTTTTTTCATAAGGAGGGTTGGTGAGCACTTGGCGGCGACTGCTGCAGAGAGGGAGGATGGAGGGAAGGCCAGGAGGGACAGCGGAGAGAAGGCCTGACTGGCATAGCTCCGGGCTCCAGGGAGGCCCCTGTGGGAGCAGGGCCTGCAGAGTGACCGCCCGCCATCTCTGTCCGCAGCTGTGGTGCTGTGCATGCACTCAGCGCTGCTGGGCGGCCTGGAGCAGACGGCCCTGCTGAGCCTCGCGGTGGCCGAGGGCCTGGCCGACGGGCGGCTCGTCTTCCTGCCCTACGACACGCTGCTGTTCTCCCTGCCCTATCGCAACCGCTCCTACGCGGCCCTGGGGGACAGGGGACCCCTGCAGCAGGTCTACGACACTGTGCTCACTGTCAGCCTGGAGTCCAGCCCCACCCACGCTGTCTTCACCGCTGCCCGGGCTGGGGGCGAGGGGGCTGCCCTGCTGGAGCCGGAGCAGGTCAGTGCTGACTCACACACCTCCCTGAGACCCGGGGGCCATGGGCAGGGGGTGCATGGGCTCCCCATCCACTGTCACCCACCCGGCAGTCCCACCCTCCACTGTGGGCACATGACCTGTCCCTCCCTTGGTATGGTGTCTGCCTCTCTTCCGATCTGCCTCTGTCTCTCGAGCATCTGTCTGTCACGCCGCCTTCTTTGTTAATTCCCATTAATTCTCTCTTGCTTCAGTTTTCTTCTGGGACTTTCTCTGTTCCTCTTCTTCTTCCTCCCGGTCCAGCTGCTCTTTCCCTTAAACTTGGCTCCATCTCCTTTCCCTGCATCTGTCTGGCCAGGAGTGTGGGAGAGTGGGGGCGAGGGGAGGCTTTCTAAAGTCACTGCCATGGACATGAACGTGCCGGGGGCAGCGGGGGATTGAGTGGAACCTGAGTCTCCTTGGCATGGCTGCTTCTCAGTACTCAGAGCACAACCATGTCTGAAGGTAGTGACGGGCATGTGGATGCCGAGAGAGGGCCATCCATTGCGTCTGACAAATGTGGCTGGAGTCCCTGTCCGGTGATAGGAGTCAGGGACCCAGTGATAGATGAGGCAGGTCAGTCCACCTTTCAAGGTGCTTCAGTTCTGTTAGAGGCAGGCAGGGTGCAATGTGAGCTAGTGGGCAGGATGGAGTCGAGGTGAGACAGGCAGGCAGCCCTCCCCAAAGATGAGGATCCTCTTGAGCTGAGATCTGAGCACTTGAGGTGGCAACTAGGTGAAGACCTGGATACAGATTGAGCAGGAGACGGAAACAGCAGGTGGAAAGGCCCCGGGGCAGAGTGCGCCTCCACGGCTGGAGGAGCAGGCACAGGCATCAGAAGTGACGCAGGAACAGACCCAAGAGGGAGCGGGCCAGGCCACGTGAGAGAGGTCTTCGAGGGCAAGGTGTCTTACTTAAGTAAAATGGGAGATAAGTAGCAGGTTTTAAGTGGGACATCATTTGGTTTTCTGCCCTATGGGGATAACCGGAAGCGGCCAGGCCAGGAGGCTCTTAGGAGGCCCCTGTGGTCCAGGTCGTCAGAGAGGTGTCGGGTCCTGGGGGCAAAAGTGGAGATGGTGAGAAGGATGTGACCCTGAGCTGGAACAGAGCAAAGGTCTTTGGGGTAGGGGGGCAGGGGGACCAGGGGGCTGGTATAGTTTCGTCTCCTACCATGGGGGAAATGGAGGGGCATTCATTTTGCGGGGTGGGACCAGGATCTCTGGTTGCGGGGCATATTTGGAGTTAAGTTTGAGATCCCTGGGAGACATCAGAGGTGGTGGCAGTGGTGGTCACCACCATGCTGGTGGCCATGAAGACTGATGGGAACTGGGGTGGTGGTGGCTCTGAAGAAGTGTGTGTGTGTGTGTGTGTGTGTGTGTGTGTGTGTGTGTGTGTGTGTGT